TACAAAACTCTATATTTATAATTATTAAACTATATGTTCATAATTAAGGTTTAAATTTGTCACTGAACGTAACCTGAAAATGCAATAAGACAGAACGAAAAAAAAAAAGAAGTATAATTAAGTCACTGAACACTCCAAATGTATGCAATTTCACCGGATAGCATGTTACCATCAATTTTAGCAGGTTACTTGCTTACGTGGTAGCTGAATTGACATTTTTAATAATTTTAAAATACTTTTTAATAAATTTTTTTAAAAAAAATTAATCTTTTTTTTAAATGACAGGGTTTATATTTTTATTATTATTATTTTTTATTTTTTAAAATTTATTATTAAAATTTTTGAACATTATATTCACAATTATTGAATCTCTATATTTATAATTCTAGAACTATATGTTTATAATTATGTTCACAATTTTATGTTCATAATTATAAAATTGTATATTCATAATTTTTGAACTATATATTCATAATTAAGAAGAGTTGTTCCACAAAAATAAATGTTGAAACACACGCACACATATTAATTTCTCAAAGAAGATGTTTGATTTTGTTGGTTGAATCGACAACGTAGAAAAGACAACAAAAAGGGCAATTTATGAGAATATGAGATGGATGCAGAACGAGTGGGGCTGAAAGTAAAAATGTTAGATTTGGGCTGAAAGTGGTGCGGGGCCTGCATCCTTTAAGTTAATATGGCCCACAAAACAATTACGTAGCCGAACAAGTTGGTCAAATAAAAAATCGGATGAACACGATTACAAAAATGGCATCGTTTTGATTACGCATTTGACTTTAAAAAAAAAAAAACAGTTTTAATTGCTGTTAACGGCGTTATGTTGTGAATAATTTGAACTATATATCCAAAATTAATGAACTATATATCCATAATGAATGAAATATATATCCAGAATGAATAAATTATATATCCAGAATGAATAAACTATATAGTTCAAATTATGCACAACATAACGCCGTTAACGGCAATCAAAACTGAATTTTTTTATAAAGTTGGACGTCAAAATGACGTCGTTTTTACAACCGTGTGCACCATGTCACACAACATAACGCTCCATAAAAAATGAATAGTTATTGCGTGAACCTGTGTGAACCACGGTTCAAAACTGATATCGTTTCGTGTAATTTTTTTCTCATGTGACCCACTGCAATATACATTTTTATATCTCATAATGTACATTATTCTAACTTATAAAGTACATTATCTTACCCCAAAATTTTCATTATTCTAATACATAAGGAATAAGGGTCAAATAGGCCATTGAACTGCACACAATAATGCAATTAGGCCACTGAACCAAAAAAAACAACAATTAGGCCACTAAACTAAGCAATTTCATTCAATTATTCTAATTTACAGGTTTTGTAGGTTATTAACAGGTCACCCAAACAATTTAAATATTTTTTAAAAAATTATTATTTAAAAATAATAAATTAAAAAAAAAAAAAACTCGTCTCTGCCGGAGACGAAGAACCCATGGCCGGAGACGAAGAGTTTCTTCGTCTCCGGCCATGGAGATGAGGAAACTTTCTTCGTCCATGGCCGGAGACAAGAAACTCGTCTCCGGCGGAGATGGTTAATGTTTTTTTTTTTTTTTAAATTTAATTTATTATTTTTAAATAATAATCTTTTTAAAAATATTTTAAATTATTTGGGTGACCTGTTAGTAACATACAAAACCTGTAAATTAGAATAATTGAATGAAATTGCTTAGTTTAGTGGCCTAATTGTTGTTTTTTTTAGTTCAGTGGCCTAATTGCATTATTGTGTGCAGTTCGATGGCCTATTTGACCCTTATTCCAATACATAATATACATTATTCTAAAACATAAAATACATTATTTTAACTCATAATGTAAATTATTTCTAACTCATAAAATTCAATGACGTAATTTTGAATCGTGGTCCACACAATAATTTGCAATAAAAAATCACGTTTCCCTTTTTATACCTTCAAATTTTATTCTCCCTCTAAAATATTTTTATATGTGGAAAAATATTATTAACTGTTAGATTAATATATATATATATATATATATATATATATATATATATATGAAACAAAATAGTAGAAATCTTAATTCTCTCGCTCAAAGTATGTGTCTATTTGTATTTAATTAAATATTTAACTAATTACAATACTACATGTTATGAAATATTTTAATTTTTGAAATTCCTACAATAAACAAGATATTTTTAGATAAAAAAATGTTAAAAGGCATACTTTATGAAAAGGGAGGACAATCTTTAGACACACTTGTTGGACAAAAAATGTGCTTTCCAAGCTTTTACTCCACAAAGTACGACACACACAAATCATGAATGAATGTGCCTCTCCCTGTCTTTTTTACTTTTACACGTCTTTCCTATTCCATTATCCATATTTCACCTCCTAATATTTATTTAACAATAAAACTCTTTACTTTGCACGAGCTTAACTAAGTGGTTTAGTAAGCAATTTTGGTAACGATAATTTGAGAATTATGTAAAAAAATAAATAGATCTTTTGTGTGCATTGACAGTTGATATTGTCTGCTGAGCCATTGAGCCACCGTAATTTATATCATTCTAAATGTTTTATCGAGTTGGGGTGTGGAAGGTCTTGGATTGGGGGATGAAGATTCAACCTTTTGGGAGAAGAACAATAAAACTCTTTATATTAAATTACTTACAAATTAATCAATCTTATCCCATACCAAGACCATGTGGTCTAATGGTACCCGGGTTGGACTTCCATTTGGAAGGGTGTGAATTTGAGCCTCAGTAGATGCGTATAGGCAGATACTACATTATAATAGAGTCAGTAGCATTCGAAAAAAAAATCAATCTTATCCCATATTAAAAAATAAATTTACTTATTAATCAAAATACAAACGAAATCAATAATATATTACCACATAAGAAGGTAACACAACTTAAAATTAATTGAGCTTTCTACTCTCCCGAAGTATACTTAATATCATCTAATACATTTTCTAACAAAATAGAAGTTAAAAGTATGTTTGCCTTTTTTTTTTGGGGGGTAACAACATGTCAGTATTCAATAGTTTAAATTTTATTTTAAAATTATTATCGAATAATCATTATTATTTATTACCTAGTCACAATAATTTTTGCTGTCATTATTACATAATTTGTATAATTATGTATTCCCAATTTATCACAGTTAATTTTTGATATTGTCTTTCAAAAAAAAAATTGTGATATTGCAAATACTCAGTAGGACAATACCCACATTTATTTATTTAATAATAACAATAATAATATATATCATTGTTATTATATATTATATATTATATATTATTATTATTATTATTATTATGACAATCTCACCTTCCAATCCCCATGATAACAACAAATATTTTTCATACTTGATTTAGTGATTTATTAAATGTTTTAGACACTAACCAAATTGTTAACGCAACTGCAATTTTATATTATATTTGGAGAACCAGAAACGGAGCGGTATGGGATGCATGTCTACCGCGACCACGGAAAGTGATAGCCTTGGCCGAAGCCACCACACTTGCATGGCAACGTATCCACCCGATCCATCGCCAAGCAAACCACCAAGCTGCCGCACAGGGTCCTATTACCACCACTGCCGCACGCGGCAGCAGCAACAAGCCACTGTCGACGGCCTTGTGGTTGCCGAGGAGGGCGTACGGTTGGAGGCAACCGAGCCAATACGGAGATGTTATGTCAATGCCGGGTTTATGCCGGCTACAGGAAAAGCTACGGTTGGCGCGATTTTGTTGAACGAGGAAGGGGAATATGTATCGGTATTCAGTGCATCCTTATCAGATTGTCTCTCCCCGCTTATGGCTGAGGCAATAGCATGTAAGGAAGCCTTGTCTTGGTTATGGAATCGTGGGGAACGCTCTGTACGCTTACTCACAGATTGTTTGACCCTACAACAGTATTTGACAAATCAAACTGTCATGGTTCGGACTTATGTTGGCTACGCTATTAGTGCTTGTTGAGCACGCATTACCTCTTTTGATTACTGCTCAGTTAATTTTATTCCTAGATCAGAGAACTATTTAGCTCATAGTTTAGCGGCTTCTGCATTTAATTATTCTACGATTATGTATTCGGACGATGTCCCCCCAGACTCTATTTCTGAGTACTTTTAATATATGCCATATTGGCCACCTTTCAAAAAATATATATATGATATAACAAAAAATATATGCAATCATATTTAATACTTTTTTTTTTCCAAAAGCTTGAATCCCCAACCTTTGAAACCGTAGTCTCATCTCTCAAGTACTGCTTACTGAACCACTGAGTTAAGTCCGTGCGGGCTAATCATATTCAGTATTACTAATATTGATTGTGAGTTGCTCATATGGACTTAGCTCACTGATTCAGTAGAAGATAAGAGACCAATATTCGAATCTCGGTACAATTGAGGTTGGGAATTCAACCATTTTTTTTTTGGCAGATCATGAGATATCCTGAGCAGACCATAACCGTAAAAGACACTTTTAAGCCCGTACCATACTGAGAATCCTTGTTCATACCAGGCTGACCCAATTAAGGGACAAACTGCTGGTCAGATTGGTCTCGGTGTCCTTGAGGTTGGGAATGCAACTTTTGGGAAAAGTACTGATATTGGTTGTGAACTCTGACATAGGCCATGTTTAGTAAAATAGTTAGCCTATAGGTAAATTTTGACTTATTTGATCACTATTATTTTTTTATTTGGTTAAAAAATTAATATAAATGTTTGGTTAATTAGCTTTTTGTAACTTCAAAATGCTAAAATTCAAAAAGCGGCTCAAAACAACTTTTTCAATTAATTTTTTGAGAAAAAAAACTATACCAAACAACTATCGACTAACTAACTGCTAAATACTAATTTACTAAACTACTTTCTAAACTAATGTTATCAACTAAGTATATCTTATAATTAACCCAATCAGCTAACAGCTCACGGCCCATTACCGGGCCATAATTTTTAATTGATAATTAAAATAGGAATATAGAAGAAAAGACCCATAGAATTCTTTGTTTCCTTTTATAATATGTTTGTTTTTGAAGATTTGAGCTTCTTCACAGTTCATACTCCAATGCGAATGCGAGGATGAATCGGGCGGCGGTGGAGACGCCATATGCGTATGATGTGATGGTGACATTTTGGATGAATAGATCTGCAATGGGCGTCGTTAGATTTCGTCACTGACCGTGAATTTCGGCTTTATTTAAGGGCGTGTTTGGTCGTTTGTCGTTGTTGTTTGTTGGCCTATTTACCAGGGAACAGCCGCGTATGGGTTGCAACGGGTCAAAGGCGGTTGAAACGGAACTGGTGATCCGCTGCCGGGAGCGTAGGGATCTCATCAAGGCCGCCGCCGACCACCGCTACTACCTCGCCGCCACGCATCTCTCCTACTTCCACTCCCTCAAGGACGTCGGGGACGCTCTCCGCCGCTTCGTGGACGAGGAGCTTGTTGCCGCCTCCTCATCGTCGCCGTCTTCCCTCTCCTCTCCCTCGTTGATTCTTCATTCCGGTGAGCGTAAACTCGGCTCTGATGGCGGCAAAGGCGGAGGGAAGAAACGCGGAGGAGATTCCTCCGGATCATCCGGCTTTGTTCACCATGATGGCGATGAAAAGGAATCGCACTTGTCTTTGCCGTCAGATTCGTCGGACGACGAGCACTTCCACTTGCACGAAACCGGCGATAATGGCGGGCATTTGCACATAGATGAAGAGGAAGGGCATACGTCACCGGTTTCTCCTTTTCATCACCCGGATTTGCCAATGGGAACTCATGGGCCGTATGTGACGATGAATCAAGAGCCTCCTCCACAAATGGGGTACTGGGATCCTTTCTATGGCTACAATCCCCAGCTGAATCCCCCCTTTTATGGCGGAAATTCAAATACATATGCGTACTACATGAAGAGATCTTCCCCAACCATGAAAACAGTAATGCATGAAGCAGAAGCTGCTTCTACTGCGTACTCGAACGCGTACTGGAGCTCCCCTTATCAGAATGCTGGCGACTATTTTGGATATCCACCAGCGGGTCCATACGGGGGTGAAGGGATGAGGAATCGCGATAAGAAGCCCAGCCCTCCGGCGGAGCCGCCACCACCGCCTTCCCCAAAGGCCTCCGCTTGGGACTTTTTGAATCCATTCGAAGCAATTGAGCAGGAGTACTCGAGTTATTTTCCCCATGGCGGCGGCTACGGGTATGGGTCTAACAGTAGTAGCCCGGATTTGAAGGAAGTGAGGGAGAGGGAAGGGATTCCCGATTTGGAGGAGGAAACAGAAACCGAGCTTCACATGGATGAACCTAAATTGAAGAAGAAGTTGAATAATGAATTTAAGAAAAAAAAGGCAGGTGAAGGGGCTTCAAGTTCCAGTGGAGTGTCATTACAAAGAGGGGGTGGCACTGGGGGAGAGCAATTACCGAAAGGAATGCCCCGTCGAAAAACGCCAATGCCCACAAAACACAGTGAGGGTTCCTCAATTTCAAAAGGGCCACCATCAGAGGATAGTGGTGGCAGCACATTAAGACTATCATCATCAGGGCATGATGAGTGTTCTCTCAGTGACATGACAGGTTCAATTGATGTTTCGGAGGAGAAGGCTAGCTCTAGCTCCATTGTATCAAAAAGCCCGGAAGATAGCAGTGTGAAGACAAAAGGAGTGACTTTTGAGGTAGATCATGAAATCGAATCTTCCAAGTTAAGCAACTCGGATAATAAACCTGCTCATGGAACAAGAGATCTTCGGGAGGTTGTGGCCGAAATCAAAGATGAATTTGAGATTGCTTCAAGTTATGGGAGGGAGGTAGCTGTGATGCTTGAAGTTGGGAAACTGCCTTACCACCATAGCTTCATTAGAGGTAAAATATCCAGTTTTGTTTCATAATCTCTACATTCTACATTGCTGGATTATTGAATTATTGTTTGTCACTAACAAGTTCCTAGGATCATATGAATGCATCTGAGTTTTACTACTGACTCCTATAGGATTTCAGTCTGACTAATGGTTTTCGCATTTATGATTATTTAGCATGTCATAACTCTAGAAACAGTGTTTTAAAATGTGTAATTTAGATGCAAAGCAGATAACTGTTCAGCATCCCTGGTTCTATCTTCTCATCAATCCTATGTTTGTCCAATTTGTTTTTCTTCTTTTATTTTCTTATTAGCATTAGATGTCTCCCCTAATATGTCGCATATTTTGGGAAAAGTGGTTTGATTTGGGACTTCCCTCGAATGAATAAGACGTTGCACCGTGGTGTCAGAAGAAGTGTTTTTTTTTTTCCCTTTCTTTACAACATTCACCCAAACAGCACCTCAAACACTGAGGCTCTGCCTTAAGCATTTGGTGCTGCCTGATGTGCTTCACTTTAAAGAAAGGGAAGAACAAATAGGAATCTTGGAGATGAAGATGAAGTTACAACTCAAATATGAGCAATTGGGACTCCATCTGCCTACATCTTCCAAGCATTCAGTTCCATACATTTTCGCGAAATCTAACCAACATATCTTCCAATCACCATAGTTTCCTCTTTTTGTGCTTTCTCCCTTTCGTTTTGGTTTGTTGGTTTATTTTATTTCTTGGTGAGTTATAGATTATGGAAAGAAAGATGTGCATAGTGGAGTATTGTAGGAAGATAGAGTGATGGGAGCTTGGAATCCAGAAATTGGAAGTTGAGGACTAAGAAGGCTACTGAATATGGAATTCTATAGCTCTTCAAAGTTCAAAACTTTCTCCTCTCCTAGTTTCAGTTTCCAAGATTTCCTTTGTTTTATGTAAATACCGAATAATTTGCCTACTGTTTTTAAAAACATCTTATAATATTTTATGTATTTAGTACTCCGTATTAAAACTTAAGCATAAAATTCATGGAGCTTATACCTTGCTCCAAGTTGGATATAAGATGTTGCCTTAAACAGTTACACCCATGCCTCTTAAAAACGCTGGTTCTACCATTTGCAGCCACATTTAACTCCACCAAGAACGAATTCATATAATTTATCATTTACTGCTGCATGCACCTTATTATATTCCTTTCAATCTAATTTGGTTAATTGGTTTGTTATTTTGTGCCTTCATGCAGTGCTCATGTCCAGGATTTTGTACTCGATTGTTCCATCCTCATCATCTTTGCAAACAGTGTCATCACACTCAGTAAGATTAGATTCTAGAACACGGAAATTGATGGAGTCCTATTTTGGGGATGCCAGTCCAGAAAATAATTTGAAGCCTTGTAACCTTTCATCTACACTAGCCCAGCTATACGAATGGGAGAAGAAACTTTACAAGGAAGTAAAGGTAAATAATAGCACTTGTGATAAATTTCTTCTCTAATTTTGCTAAAGTGCATATTTTGTTTTGCTACTGCTATAGTTGATTCTATATAAGTATATATACATCAAAGAAGATGAGGCTTTAGGTTCTAAATGGGTTGTGTGTACCACTTTGTTATTGCAAAAAAGTATCCTAAGATTTGATTTACACTTGAATGCTTGAATTTTTTAATTCTTTAGTTGAAAGCCATATATCAGCCTAAACTAAGTTTTGTCTCATTTCTACTTTTCACCGCATCTATAATCTCTATAATAACTTTTATATCAAACTGGTCTTTTTACTTATTTAGGTGATTCATTTGATATAGGAAGAAGAACAACTACGGCTTTTATATGAAAGGCAGTGCCGGAAGCTAAAAGTGTTGGATGAGCAAGGAAAAGAGTCAAGTAAGATTGATGCTGTTCAAGCTTCTATTAGAAAATTACTGACAAAACTCAATGTTTCTATCAAAGCAATTGATTCTATTTCAAATAGGATACACAAGTTAAGAGATGAAAAATTGCAACCCCAACTTGCAGAATTAATTAATGGGTAAGTACTCACGCTTACTATTTTTTCAATATTCTTTTAATGCTAATTAAATACCTTGGTTCGGTTTTTAATATTTTATATTGCTACTCTTAAATTATATGTAATGAGAAAATGCAATTTATTTATTTATGTATTTTCTAAAACCCAATTCGACTAATGCCTTATTTTCAAAATTGATGGGATTTCTTATTTATATTCTATTTCTCCACTTAGCTTTCAGTTAGAGTATAACCCTTTCAGTAGTATGTCCTTTTTAATAATAGCTAATTAGCTACTCAAGTTGGACTTTACACACGCCAACATCCTACTACTACCGTGCTTTCACTCCTAATTGGGCATCTATAGGCTACAGTTAACATGCCCAAATCATCTTATTTTATCTTCTCTTAACTTCTCTTCAATTGGTTTATTCATTTGTAATCTGACCTTGTGTATTTCAACATGTTACAGCATTCTTATCTTTGCAACTAGATTTTTTTTTTTTTTTTCTTTTTTTAGTATCTGTTTGCACACTTGAATCATTAAATCCTTTTCCCAATAAGCAATGGTTTTTGTGTTTAACCTTTTTTTTTCCCCCTCTCTCTCTCTCTCTCTTCAAAGGTTGTTTCTTTTGTTACAAATGATTTGTTGGAATAAATTCTGTCTGCCAACCCAAATAAATAATACTCCCTTTGTCCCTTTTTACCCGTCTTATTTACTATTCAGTCAAACCAACTCTTTCTTCTTTGTTTATTATCTTTAGTATTTTCTTATTATTTTTAAATTTGATTTTATGTGTTCAATAGTATTTTTAGTGTAGTTTCTAAATATATACATTTTCTGTACTAATGCTAAACTTAGTATTATGAAAAATTGAATTATAAATAACTCCAGTTAAGTCTCATTAACTGAATCAGACACAAAATGGGATGGAATGAGTATTTCTTTCTTTAATCAAATTTATTTTGACTGACAGCTTGATAAGGATGTGGAGGTCCATGCTCAATTGTCATCAGAAGCAGTTTCAAGCAATCATGGAGAGTAAAACTCGTGCTTTGAAAGCAAACATTGGATTCCATGCTGATTCCACAGTGAGAGCTACTCTTGAACTTGAATTGCAGCTTCTTGCATGGTGTAGCCACTTTAACGATTGGATTTGCACTCAAAAGTCCTATGTTGAGTCCTTAAATGGGTGGCTTCTTCGGTGCCTTATTTATGAGCCAGAAGAAACTCCTGATGGGCCTGTTCCCTTCTCCCCTGGTCGTTTGGGTGCTCCTCCAATTTTTGTAATATGTAATGATTGGAATCATGCAATGGAAACCATTTCTGAGACTCGGGTGGCAATGTCAATGAACAATTTTGCTTCAAGCTTGCGGAAACTTTGGGAAAGGCAGGATGAGGAGCACCGTCAAAGACTTAGAGCCGAATACCTTTCAAAGGATTACAAGAGACGACTTAAAATGCTTAAGATGGAGAAAGGAAGAGTGGGGCATGATCGAGATGCGATGCCACAGAAAACTGGAGCGTCTATGGTTCCATCTGAAAATGGGGTTTCTCCATTGGATGATCTAAAGGTGGACTTGGACACGTTCCGGAAAAAGCTGGTTGAAGAGAAAGTGAAACACGAGGACACTTTAAAGTTAGTGCATGATGCAGCTTCCAGTAGTTTACAGGGAGGGTTGCTTCCAATTTTCAAAGCTTTGGAGAATTTCACTTTGGAGGCTGTCAGAGCCCACGAGCAAATCAGGTTACAAAATATCTAGCAATAATCTTTATTTCCAAGTTTCCAATATCTACTTGGAAGAATTGTTGGCCTCCCTATAATTTTATTAGTGAGAGCTTACAGTAGGTGGAATTTGGATGGGTGCAGCTACTTCAAGAAGCTGCAAAGGTTGGTGGAACAGGCAAAGTTTTTTAGGTTAATAATTTTTTGGTAGCGAATATTTCATCTTATCTAACATCTAACCTTTTGATTGCTAGGCTATTGTACAGTGACAGTTTATTTATTCATTGGATTCTTACTGATCAAAGTTTTGTCGATTGATGTAACAATGGAAATGTATGAAAGTTTTGATTCCAAAGTTGGCAGGATGAAGTCCGGCAGACCTGTTGTCAAAGTTTTTGCATTATTAGAGTTTATATATACTCTTGTGGCCATCACTTGTTCTTTTATTCCCTGTTTGCAGTTTTGCTAGTTTACCCATGAAATACCCTACTGACCCTAACAGGTAGCATCACCAAGGACTACTGGGACATACATTTTTATGTATCTAAAAGCTGCAATTGAGGGTAGCATAGAGGATATAAAAAGCAGGGACGGTCAACTGTGAGAAAAGCGGAAGAGAAAGATGAAGATGCCATGAGAACGATGTGGTGCGACACGAGGAAGAAGGCAGAAAGGGAAGGAATATTTGTAGAAATTTAGGGTAAGATAGAAGCCTAGACTCTGGTACAAAATGAGAAGTTCACAAGTTCGAATCGCAGCCATCTTGGATTGAGCTGGTCAGTTATGGCCAACCTAGATTGATTTACCTCCTTGTGTTCCTTTGCTAGTTAGGGTCAGAAGGCGGTGTTTACCCAGTACATACCCTCAGATAATGACTGCAAGTTTTTTTTGTCACTCAAAAAAAAAAAACGAGATGTATGTTGATTGTATGTTATGTAGTAAATTATAGATGGAGAAATGTGAAGGAGTACAAGAGACAGGATGACTTACCTCTTGAAGTGTTGGGAGTGAAGCTATGCTATTCCTGGTTTGCAGCACCTGCAGATTAGATCTGCACCATGGGAAGTGCTTGGATGTTAAGCTGGATCATAGTTGATCAATGATGGCCACACAATACATTATAATCCAGAGAAGCAACTTGTTTCACTACTCAAGAGTAAGTTCCTTGTGACTATTTGATTCAGCTAGCTATATGCCAGATACCATCATGTATTCCTTCGTTAGGATAAGACAGGCATTAGGACATCCATAATAGTGGTGGTGGATGTGTGTGGATGCAATGCTTCCTCATTAACATTTAATATCCCATCTCTTTCTAATATACTTTTGTGATTGTGAAGGATATCTTTGGAGTCTACTTATCCCACATCAACCATCTTTTATTACAATTTCTAATAAGAATTAAATATAGTTAAGAATTTAATTACAGCTATCAAGAGTATTTATAAATTGCTGGGATGATGTTGTTCCTTATGGGACGGTTGATGGTTGTATTTTTTTTTTTTTTTTAAATTCTTAAATAAATAACAAGTTTTAAATAAATTTTTTAAAAAGAGATATGTGTTAAACTTACGATGTGTTTGAATGATGTTTTTTATATTATTCAGTTTAGGGGGTAAATTAAACTTTTTTCCAAAATTAAAAAATGGCATTATCAAACCCTTAAAACGTGGTTACAAAAATGTATATATTTGTGTTTTGTTACAATTTTATCCAAACTATACTGTCTAATTTAAAAGTAATTCAATTCTTTTGACTCAAGTAAGTAATTCAATTCTTTTGACTCAAGTATTAATAAGTAATGTTTATTGGGTGATCAAACTAGCTAAATCATGGTAGCCAATCACAAAATAAATATATGATTAAAATTTAAATGTGAAAATTTAACTAATTCCAAAGTGTTTATGTATATTTCATAGTAATATATTATATAAAAGAAGATAGAGTTTTTTTTTTTTTAAATTTTATTTTTAATGGTTGTTTGCAATTTCTTAAATTAGTTATGTGGCCTTCTGGCTGTGTTGATTTTGATTTACAAATTGCTTACAGATGTGAATATTTCTTTCAAACAATTGATTCAATTTCAATTAGTAGGATTTTCACCTTATTTTTTTTATTATTATTTGCTTGTCTTTAATTCCTTTTCCAAATAATAATATTTCTTTGTAAAAAGTCATTCTCTTTTCATGTAGGAAATATAGAATTTTTTATTTTTATTTGTTGTGTTTAATGATGTTTTGTACTCTAGCTATAATTAAACATTATAATCACTTGATTGACTTGAACAAAATTTAAAACATATAAAATAGTGATTTTTATATTCTAGTTAAGCTTTATTTTAAGAGATAAAGTTTATTTTAATATTAAGAAAAATCTTAATCTTTTATTATTATTATTATTATTAATACCTCTATCTTAAAATATTTAAATTTAAAATATAATCCCGGCCTCCATCTATTTATATGAATTTTGTAAAACATGGATCTATATATTGGAGACCTATAAAAAGATTCGACGAAAAAGATGAATTAATCAAAATATTTTAATTACCAAATATTTATAACAATATAAACAAATCAAATTCTAAAGATTTAATAAGTCTATGTAATTAATCATTCATTAGTGTCTGAGATTGATTAAATATATTCATTTCTATACTCAGATTAGAGCACCACATTGAGATTTTTTAGAGGTTTTTGCTTGGGTGAGGAGTGATGAGACAGAAAAATTAAGTTCAATTGCAATGATTTGATAATTATTAAATAAAAAAGAAGGTGAGTCGCGTCAATTCAGCCACCTAACGAGCACGTACTCTTCACACGCCTATTGGGCACGTATAGGTGTTTGCCATTGAGTTTTTATTTTTTATTTTATTTTATTTATTTATTTATTGTCTGAAATCCACTTGGCAAAGGAAAATCTCTAATTGGGGTTTTTAATTGGAGATGTTCTTAAGTTATGTAAAGTTTTTTTTTTTTTAAATAATAATGTCAAAGCTACAATTATAGAATAGTGTAATTGAGTCATATAACTAGGAAAAAAAAAAAAAACTCCAATGGACCTCTTAAGCTGAGAAAAGTGCAATTGTCCATACTGATGAATTAAACAACTTTAAACAAAAATTTTAAAAAGTTAATTTTTTTTAAAAAAAATTAAAATGGATATTTTTAGTAATTTTTTCAATTTGCTAAGTGGAAAAAATATTAATCTAAAATATAATATTCCTTGATGTCATTGCAATAATATGTTGAACAACCATGCCTAAAAAAAAAATCGAATTTTAAAGACAAACAACCATGGTTGCCATAATTCAATTTTGAAAAAAAAAAAAGGTGAAATAGACTGTTAAATTTATAACTTTTGTGCAATTAAATTACTCATGAACTTAATATGTGTGTAATTAAATAAACAAGTAAAATGTGCGTAATTGAACAATTAAACATGTAAAATATGTAAAATATGTTCAATTGGGGCATTTAATTTTTTTTTCAGTGCAATTTGTGTTAAAATATTTCAAAATTTCATCCCAACTAGTACAATAGAGAAAATTGAAACTATTAATACATATCATGTAAATAATAGGGATGGCAATGTGTCGGTCGGGGAGGGCTACATCAATCACCAGACCCACCTTATATTTTCTCCACCCATCCCCACCTCCAACCCGCATTGGGTGGACTTTTTCAAAACCCACCCCCACCCCACCAGGTGTGAGTGCCCACTACGAGTACCCACCACTTATCATCTAATTATGTTTTTCAAAAAATAATGTTTAAATTACTTACCCATAATAAAATAATAAAATTCGACCATTAGTGATACTAAAACATAAAATAATAGAAATATTTAAATATAATAACTAACTTGTTAATTTTAAAAAATAAACTTAGTAGTTTAGATATAAAAAATAGTAAAAAGATACACAAAGTTATATGAATTTTTATAAATAACTACGTACTAGTACTTATTTTATTATTATATATACACACATACATGGTGGGTCGGATGATGTTCTATGCGAGTTTTGTACATAGAATTCGAATCCAACCCGACCCACCGCGGGTTTATTTTTTTTAAGATACATTCCCAACCTGTGCGGGGTGGATATCCATAGGTTTGTATTTTAAGGGGGTTTGCATGTGAATTCAACCCTATATTATATATATGTGTGTGTGTGTGTGTGACTTACTTAGCATACTAATGGTTATCCAATCTTTTGAAAGTAGATAGGAACCATTTAGACCCGAAGATGATAATTGAAATGTTTTAGGATCACAAGTCCATTACTTAAAAATGAGAGAGATTTGTAAGGATATAAAGTAAATAGTGAAGAATTTACAAATTTGATAATGTTAAAGTGAAACTCATTATAGAAAGTGAGAGAGATTTGCAGGATAATAATAGCCTTACAAAGGCACACTTAAAAAAAAAAAAAAAAAAACAAAGAAAAAAGATTACAAGGCTACATTTAAGCGATTTTTTTTTTAATATTGTATTTTTAAGGAAAAGAAGAAGAAGGAAAATGGGAATACTGTAATTTTATCCATTGCTAACATCTTGGACTATTGTTGTGAATGATGACCCGGCTTGCCTCAGGATTCTAGACAAGAAGCTTTGAGTCTGTCTCTACAGAGGTATTAAATCTCTTACTTATAACCAAATGCGTATATACGTGAATTTGTGTTTTTGTTTTGCTTTTGTTATTATTATTTTTGTTTATGTATTTGATTAATTGGCTCAATTTTTGGCGTTTCTCAATCGGTGAAGCTGACTCTGGAGCGCCTCAATTTGTGGAATTGATTTCATCTTTCTTTATTCAACTGTACAGGCCTTTAATTTGTGTCTGTTTAGGGAGATTTGAAATCTAATGGTTGTATTGAGCGACCGAATAAGCAGAAAACAAATTCCTGGAGATTATTAGTGGTTTATAATATTGCAAGTATTTCAAAATCCAATTGAGGTTTTTGTGAGATTTGGGGATAACTTTATTTTGCATTCCAAACTAGATTGAATTTATCCCCAAATACTTGGAGAAATGGATTTTTTTTTTTTTTTCTACAGTTAGATTGCACATGTATTTTTGTGATTTCAGAATTCTTTTTGTGTTTTTTGTGATTTCAGAAGTCTTTTTTTGTGTTTTTGAACAGTTGGAGTTTGATTAGTCATTTTGTAATAGTTTATTTAACACATGGAATTAGTTGCAGTTTTCTGCAAATAATGAATTTCTATGATTCATTATACTTTTAATATTCAGCTTCATGCAATTATCAACGATTGATTGTAGTTCACTTCATTTTCAGTTTCTTAGAGTTAATCATTTCTTTGATTCATTATTTTTGCTAGAACTTACACACATTTATAATGCTGATGGACCATAAGGATAAACAAGATTATTACTTCGTGTGCACTAATTATGG